ACTCTCAGGGAGATCTGGTCTTTATTCTGTGAATTTACAAAAACTGGGCTGAAGAAGCCAGGAAACACAACTGTATGGTATTATGTAAATAATGAATTTGTGATAGCATTTCACTCTGAAGCGACTGTAAGCCTTGCAGGCAAATGTCTCTTTTTATAAAGATTTGAAAATTATTTTTGCTTAAGTAACAGCTGGTCTTGCCTATATGGCCTTAAATGAGCCAAGTGGAGACAAACTTGTTTCACTTTGGGTAAGAAAGATTAAAAAACATTAACTCCAGTTAATATCCATTTTGGTCCCTCTACACAGATGGGAAAAATGACATTAAATTACCGTGCTTACATACAGACAATACCAGACACCCAATAAAGCATAAACTCAAAGCCCTGCTCGTAACACAACTGATGCACACAGTTCCAGCCCAACAGCTAAGCTCAAGGCAGCCTGCAACAAAGGAGATTTACATTCATTTCTCCACTTTGCCACAGACTTCCTGTGTGACCTTGGACAAGTCACTTGTTTTTCCCCATTTTACAGATGGGGAGTTGCAGCACACAGAAACCATTTATTTCATAACCTCATAGCAATTAGCAGACTTACGATCAGGAGATGCACAGATATGAAGGTCAAATAAATGACATAAAGAGTATAAACAGTACTTAAAGCTTTAATTAACTCCTGTTAAAGCTTTGGAAACCTGGTCATCGTGACAGAACCAAAGCTTTGGCACAAGATTCACAAGTGTTATCTACAAACGTAGCATCTGCGGACAGTCGTGGATGCCGGCCTCCAAGATCCACTGCAAAGGCATGATATACTGCTATCACAAACACATACAGAAACCAAAAGTCCAAAGTCTCTAGATAACCTCTTTAAATTCTAAGTCAAAAGCTATGACTTTCCATTATAATACAAAATAGTAAGAGAAATAATCAGGTACCATCTTGAGAGACTGGAATTACTTTAGGTCTACACAGTTATTCTCCAATTCATATTAACCACTAACCACCTTCTGAATTTGAAAGCCACATTTAACTTTCATAACTTAACACCAATAAGAGAAACAAATCATCTTGCAGGCAACAGAAAATTAAAGATGTCTAGAAAGCGAGCCTACTGAAAAAAAAAAAGAAGAGAAGTAAGAAACATTCAAAATGAACCAAACGCTACACATATGCTACACCAGGACATTATGAGAACAGCACGGTCTCCCTCAGGGACCCGCACATTTGTGAAATGTATTAAATATATATTTTTTAGAAAAAGTCTGTAAGTACAAAATGTATTTCTTTAAAGGAAAGCCAAACATAAGCTGTATTTCCATGCAGATAACCCTTGCCTCTGTATAAATAACAGTACTAGCCGGCATTAAAATCAGAATCACAATCTAAGGAGGAAGATATTAGGAGCAAGGGGATTACAGGAGATGATGAGGCAGCCCATGAGAGGCCAGGACCAGGTGAGCGTTTGGGGGACAGAAGCAAGATATGGAAAATCAGAAGCAAAAAAACTTCTGAGGGGAGAGGAAGTTCTAGGATAAGTTTCCCTCATACTACCCACATGTGTAAAACCCACACAGCTGCTCAGTCACAGGGTGTTTAGTGTGTTTTGGGGGGTTTTTTGGTTTTTTTTTGTTTTGGGTTTTTTTTTTTTTTTAAACAGAGGATCTGTGGGATATACACATGAAAATATGGTCATTGCAAGCTACAAAAATAAAAATGAAACTCATTTGTTTTTAAGTTATTTTGTTTGAAATACCAAGTGGTTTTCATTATTTGTAATTGCATCTTCTATGTGGTGTTTTATAAGAAATAGAAAACAGTTCTTACCAAAAATCATTTACAACCTAAAGCTTTTTTGTTCAACATGCTGAGTTGCTCTGGGATGTGTTAAATATCTTGAACTCCCATTACAGCAGTAAGAACGGAAGAAGAGCAGCACTTTGCAATGAGGCCAAACATTAAAACATGACCAACACTGGATTGCTATCAATCCCAGGGCGCTGGATAAAACAACAGGGGAAAATAAAAGGATGGTAGTGAGGGGTGTAAGACCAAGTATCCAGTGGTGGAAGGGGCAGGGGGGAGTCCAACATTTCCAAAATAACACAGAAGGTTTGCTGTTAAGAACATACAGTTTCAGAGGTACCTAAGTAATGCAGGAGCCTATTTCATTTTCAAAGGTGGCTTTGAGACTTTTGCTCCCCTAAAGTTGATAGCTGCATAGAGGGTACCTTGTGTCTTATATAGCCACCTGAACATGTGAGTGCTGAGATTAGTTTTGCAGGAGGGAGTGAGGTTCCTCTAAAAGAAAGGAACCCCCCCACCACCTTCCCACAGTAACACCTGAAAAAAAGTGCAGAGGAGCAGAACAAAAGGCACAAAGACAGCAGATATGAGGGGCCTGAGGTCAGAGGAAAGGTGAGGATAAGCAAAGCATGGAAGGAAGGAAATTGAAACTAAGTTCTGAAACTATGTTTTTATTATCTCACTCACAGCATGTTAATAATATTCATATAAAGGAGGGGGGGGGGGCGGGGGAAAAAAAGTAGTCACACTGTTAGCAGGCTTCCCCAGAGCAAGTTTTGGCAAGTAGAGTCTCTTAATTGCTTAATCTCCTCACATTCACAAATTGACAATTTCTATTTCTTCTACAAGAGGTGAGGTGAACTTTCTCCGTAACTGTAACAACTGAAACTCCTCGCACTGTTGCAGTGATCAGCACCTGCCTAACCTTTTACAAACCAACTGCTACAGAGGTAAACTTTCTGTGCTCCACTGGGCAATTTGAATCTGGGTAGCCATAAGCAGAGCTGTTCTCCTTCACTCCCACCACTAACTTTAATAAAGTAGGATGACTTCCACCCCAAGATAAGCAATACCAAAAACACCTTTGGTCACAGGCACACAAAAAAAAAAAAAACACACACACACCTCTGTCCTCTTCTTCCTACTTATCAACATATTAACAGACAGTAAGAATAATGCCAGTTTCACAGTATTATTTTTTAAGACTTGCCAATCATCAATGTCGTTCATTTGAAGGTTGGAAGGAAGGTGGAATACCAGCAGTTACGTTATGGGCAAAGACTAATGGTCACTGCTTGTACTATGAACTAATTTTTACCAGAACTATTTATAAAGGCTGAAACAACACAAAGTTGCTGTGTGCACCTTGAAGCGCCTATCTTCAGTGGTCTATGTAACAAAAAAAAAAAAAAAATCACAACCGTATTTTGACAGGTAGTCTGCTAACTCATTTTACCTATGAGCGATGCCAATTCAGACAAGGACAAATTAGGGTTCTAATATTTTTTACACAAACTTTCAGATGAAACTTGCAATCTGACATACTTACACACTACCACAACCCTTGACAGATCCGGTAAGTTCAAACTGCAATCCTGGCCCCTTGACCATCCAGACTAGGGTAACTACAAGTCTCAGTTCCTTTCTGATCCATGTTGCTGTTTTTTTTTTTTTTCTTCCAAAGAAAATCAGGGTATGGTGGGAGGAAGAGGGGGGAGCATCAGGACTTCATCCTGACACAGAGTCAGGATGCAGATAGGACAAACATTTCCAACTCAAGAGCTGGAAGCTCCAGTATTACAAGGGTAGTTGCTACTGTCACTAAAACAACATTGTCATGACTGAAGGCTTCAGGGCTCATTAGTTATCTTCCAAATAGTGCCAAATCTGAGTATCAAATAAAAAAAAATCAGTTTTGCCTAGCCAGTTCCTCAAGCATTGTAATTCATTTAGAGGAATATTTAAAATACACCATAGAAAATACTTTTATGACACTGATTCACTATATAAATAAGTCAAAGTTTAACATACCCTAAACCACTCTCCTTTCCCCTAAGCATCACCCACTAGTAACACTGCCAAAAGATCTGCAGCAGTTTTTGAAGAGCTGGTGAGCTTTTTAATGAGTCTACTTAAGCCTAGACTTCTATTCTACTCACACGCCTCATCCCATTCCTTAGTTCCATTATTTTTGATCCTTCGGACCGGTCCTGAAAGAGTGGCTCGGGACTTGTTAAGCTAATTCGTGCCAACGTTTCCCTGTAGACTACCAGTAGCAAAAAGCTTCAGTAAAAAGGTTTATGTGCATTTGTGGGTGACAACTCAGTATACTGAAAAGATCAACTTAAAAACGTATCTAAAAACAGCATTCTCTTTTGATTGCTGCTGCTACCAACATCAAAAGGCCTCAAACCTAGTCCAGACACAGCAAGAAGACAGGAACAGAGTCATGCTTTGGGAGCTACAGTGAACACAGACTAGACTGAAAGCAACTTTCCTCTTGAATGAACAGGCACAACCAAAGATGTTACACGACCAATCTCCTCCTCAAATGCAAAGAGGCTTGGGCCTACTAGGCAGTGAACCAAATCAACCTGCTAGATGCTGAAACAAAAGGCACAAGTTTCTAAAACATACTTAAAAACAAGCTCCTCCATAAAGGGCAACAGCATATCCCTGCCTCATCAGCTAACATGTGCTTCTGTAGGGCACCCACTGAGTGATGAACTCGCACTTCTCTTCCAACTATACTACTGTTTAGAACAGAACTCTCTGAGCTAAAAAGCTCCTAGCATTTTACTGTTTTCTGCTTCTCTGGCATGAGTCTTATATATATAAGATTAGTGAAGTCAAGCATTAGATTTATAAACCAGAAAAAACAGACAAGGAGCAAGTTGTCAGACTCTCCTTTACAGGATGGTTTCAGAAACATACACGCAAGCAGTATGACAGATTCAAAGACAGTTATTAAGAAAAAAACCCAACCCCCAGAAAACTCATATCAAAACACATTACAACTCTTCTGTCCTTCTCCCCTCTCCCCCCCCCCCCCCCCCCCGAAGTACTTTAAGCCATCTAAATGGTCATTCCTCTGCTCTCTCCAGAGCCTCTGAGGATAACTACAACTAACACAAAACATGCTTTAGCCCCTCACCTTCCCCTGCCCTCCCCAGGGGAGGAATCAATACACACCTGCAGTTGGGAGGTGGATCTAAGGTGATGTCAGCCAATTCCTTCTGAATCCTGTAGCAATAAAAGCAAGAAAGAACAAAGGTAAGTCACTGTGTGGGATTGCAGTTAACATGTACTCCTTCCAGACACACTGTCACCATGAGTTTCCAACACTGCGTAAGAGAGGTGCACTCAGCTATAGCCTCCCACTAGTTCAAATACACTAAACAGGACAGGCATCCTATTACACAGTCAGAAAAGCAGACAGGCACTGGGCACTGAACACTCCCATAAAGATGCCAGCCACACAGGTGCAGCGGAAAAGACTGTCCTCTTTACTTTTGCCAATCTGCCTGTAAATGAGGGACACCCTCTGCAAATAGGATACACAGGGTGCTAGGATGAAACTGCAATCTGAGAAGGAATTTTGTTTTGCTGGATTGAGAGAAACATTCACTGCCAAACTGGCTTCCCCCCTCTCCATTGCCATCCTGAGAAAACACACCAGCCCCAGGGGAGTGAATAACTGAGCCATTCCCAAGGACACTTAAAAGAAGGTGAAAATCTGCATATTTCCACGGCTGCTGCATATTCCTGCCACCTTCAATTCTCCCCTTTCCTCACCTCCAAAAAACCATACAACAACCATGTTCCTTCCCTCAAGACTTCAGCCGCTCCTCTCTTCACCACATTCAGACAACACCCTGCCCTCCCTCACCAGCCTATTCTGGGCTCACATAGCATCACACTGCTTTTGCCACAAAACGCCCAACCAGCTATCATCCCCTTCCCTGGAGTCCCATTACTGTCACTCAAGCTTCCCCTCCAAATTTCCCCACCCAGCACTCAGTCTGCCTCTCTTCCCCTTTAAACTCAACCAGCATCTTCTGCCTCTCTTCTAGCTGTCACACGCAATAAGAACCCTAGTCTTTTTGTATTAGACACTTCACAATTAGCAGGCTTTTAAAACTATCTTATTTTCAAAATAGCTAAGGGAACCACATGTAAACACCACTTGCCACTATCTATACAAGTTTCCCAAGGAAACATGCTGAATGGAGATGTGGAATAACCAAACTGCCTAAATTCTACAAAGCCACAGAGAACTCTTAGTTGTGATGGCAGAGCATTTGCATAAAACCCCAGTCATTTTTGACATCTACAGATATAACCTTTCTGTGCTGCTTGACAAAGCTTTTCAGTGAGACAGACTGTTAACTCTTATTGAAATACTGAAAGTTTGCTGGAGAACTTCATTTGCCAGCTTAGCTTTCTGGAACAGGATGGTGCTAAATTGCACCACAGAGTAAATAAGAAAGGGCAATAACGTTTTAACTGAATGACTCCAACAGTCTGTCCAGGTGAAGAAAACTGACTGATGTAGCTGTTCTGGAATTACTACTATGCAGGCATTCTATGCAGGCATCTCTCCCCAATATAGACATTATTCTGGAATAAAAGTAATATTTTCCCCTCAAGAAAGCCATCTTGCCTTGTAAGAAAAAAACATTTTGGAACAGAATGTCCGCAGGGGGACGTGTTGTGGATTATTTATTCTAGTCAATGTACAGCTATACAGAAAAAAATTAATACAAGTGATGAGCAGATAGGAAAATAGTAATGTATTTGGTGGAAAAGATTTGGCACTGTACTACACCACTTGCACTCATCTACACTTTCTTTCATTAAGAGAACTCAAAATTCTTCACAAACATTAATTAATCCTCAGAGTAGTTCTGGAACTAAAAAGCCATTATATATCAACCCCTTTCTACAGAGAGGGAAACTGATATAGAAATTAAATATGCTACTCAAGACCACATAGCTTCCAGTAGCAGAAAAGGAATTAAGCTCCCAAACGTCATTCCTAAAACATCCCTATATCCAATGTTATTAAGGAAAAGGGAGAAGACAGTGAAAATAATTGGAGGATAGAAAAACAGCCTGGAGAAAAAGAAAGAAAAATATTTGGGATGGAATGGAAGAAGAAGCAAGGAGAGAGATCACAGAACAGCAATGTCAGGCAGACACTCCTTACTGCACAGAGATGCTGAAAAAAGTGAGATGATGGCAGCTTTCTGTGGAAAGGTTGAACATAAGTGCTAGAGATGAGGAATGGGAGCAACAAGGGAGCAGCAAGAAAAAGGAGCAAAAGAAAATGAGGAAGGAGAAAAGATAGAGTGAAGTAGTAAAAAAAAAAAAATCTAGCTGCAGCCTCACCTCTTGGCACTGGTAGATAGCAGCTTAGAGTTTTTACTCATGCTGACTTTGCTTTCCTTCTTCTTAGGTGTGCTTGCCTCTTTCTCTGTCTGTTGGTTGGAGGATGAAGATGAGGAGGAGCTGGTGCTGGCCCTTGAATCGTCATCCGACATAGCGACCCCCCCACCACACACCCCAACCTGGAGAGGAGACACCATGGGGCGTGGGGAACAAACAGTGAACACAAACACACACAGAGAAAGGCAGCTGACAATCTTGCTCTGTGTCTGGGTCATGTTCCTTTTAAAGGGTCCTCTTGTCTCCCTCGCCTCTTCAGGTCCTACAGTCCAAGCAGGAGGAGCAGTAGCCTCCCCTGCACTAGCAACACTGAGGAGGAAGGGACTTTTAAAGGGACTCTCAGAAAGCAAACGAGGAGTAAGAGGAGAAGGGACTGGACTGCAAGGATCAGGGAAGCCCAAAGCAGTTCCTTTTAATCTTCCCTGAAACTGCACACACAAGAAGAGCCATCACCACCCACCACTATCCAGCCTAGGGGTGCAGGAAATAAAAACAGAGCAGCTTCGATCTCTTGCGTCCCCTGCAAGCACGCGGGGAAGGTGGGAAGGGACAAGAAGGACACTGCTGCCAGCACTAAAATAAAAGTGGGGCATCACCAGCAACAGGGGGACACCCCAAAGGAGGATCTGTAACCTGCAGGGGAAGAAACCTGTGCCTGCTGGATCTGGTGTCAGGAGCATGTGGGGAGAGGGGGGAAGGGTGGGAGAAAAAAAAAAAGGAACAGCTAAATAGGGGCTGGAGTACGCAGAGGGGACCCACTGAGGCCCAGGGCACCGGGGGGGCACGCCAGCAAAGGGGAAAGGGAGCAAAGGGTCTGTGCTGGTGGGGGAGGAGAGCAGGATGCCCAGGGCCTACAAGGGGTGAGAGCAGAGGGCCTGGGGAGGGCCGGGGGAGGCAGGGGGCAGCGAGGA